GGAGGTCAGCATGCAGGTTTATTTGGGTATGCCTTTGGGATTGACACCCGGGGAGCAGAGTGAAGCAAGCAGGAGAGGGCCAAAGGAGAAGATGGGCCACGGGGCTTTCATGGAAGCACCACGGCGAGTTCCCAGGGAGCTTTGTGGCCCTTCAAAGCTGTCCTAAGCTGGGGTGAAGATGCCAGAATTTCAGGGCCCGCCTGCTCCAGTCTCTGGTGAGGGCCACCCTGGGAAGCAGTGAGACCTTGGGGGAGGCTCTCCCTGTGGCTGAAGTAGTCCCCTGTCCACTAAGGGACTGGCAGCCGAGGGTTCTCCAGCACCCCCCTAAGCAGCCTTCAGTCCTGAAGGGTTCTGTGGGGCACACTGTGATGCCTACCATGTGATCAGCTCCTGTCCAAGGCACCAAGGAGGGGCCAGCAGCCTTCCCTGGACTCCGTGCCCCAAACTGGAAAGCCCTTTTGCTCTCCCTCAAGCACACAGGAACGCGCCCCCCCCCCCCCAAGAACTCTCTGCCCATGGTTTTTGCCAACAGCGGACTTCTGAATCTTAGTTTTGCTGGGCCAGGCCATCATGTAGCAGAGAGAGGCCGGAGCCCCCAGACTCCACCCCGGCTTGTGCTGAGCTGGGAAATAAGTGCACCAGTGTTGCTATGAACCACAGACAGTGGTTAGGGGGTCCTCCCGGCCTTCTGGAGAGAGGGAGAGTAAGAGGAAGGGGTTGTTTCCTCTGTTGTGTCACGGAGGGCAGTGACCCCAGTAAGTGCATCTGACCCCTGTTTCTGGAGTGGAGTGGAGTGGGCAGAGGCTCCCCTTGGAGTCAGATTGCCCAGCGTAGAAACCTCAACAGGATGACCTTGGATGTTCTGATGAATTTGGCTAGGTAGTAACCAATACCTCTGCATTTCATAATTTTCTTGTGAATGAAGTGGGTGGTAGGGGCCACCTGGGAACCATGCTGTGGGGATTATGTGGGGCTTGCCACGTGCCTCTGCTCAGACTGGCGTAGCAGAACACCACAGATAGAGTGGCCTGAACAGACCTTTACTTCTTGCGGTTTGCCAGCTGAGAAGTCCGAGGTCAAGGTGCTAGCAGATTCAGCTCCCGGCGAGGGTTCTCTTCCTGGCTTGCAGGCAACCACCGTCTCACTTTGCTCTGATTTCTTCCTCTTCTTTTAAGGACACCAGGCCCATCCTGAGGCCCTTGCCTTCAGGACCTCGTGTAACCCTGATTACCCCCCAGAGGCCCCGCCTCCAAATACCATCACACCAGGAGGGGGAGAATAGGGGTTCAGCAGGTGACTCCGTAATACCATGTGTGCTTACCACAGTGCTGTGCACATAGTAAGCTAGAGCAGCATTATTATTTTCAGAGACAAGCCATTGGCTGAAGCTTCTAGAGTAGCATCAAGAGCCTGGGTTTCTGCTCCTGCCTCCTGTACACAGTGTGACCTTGGGCTGGCTGCTTAGGCTCTCTGATCTTCATTCTCATAAAAATAGACCCACCCCACCCAGGGCTGTGGAGAGGGTACAGTGAGTTAATACAGGGAAGCCTAGAACTCATTCACTCGTTCACTCATTCCTCCTCTGGCACAGAAGTGCTCCGCTGGGGGGATGAGGACGTGGAGCGTGATGGTGAGGATGCAGACGGTGGATGTGTCAGTCTGCCCCGGCTGCCATAACAAGCTACCACACCCGGGGGGACCTGAATGCCAGATATTTCCGTTCTCACACTTCTGGAGGCTGGAAGTCCAGTATCATGGTGTTGGCAGAATTGACTCCTTCCGATGTCTGTGAGTGAAAGCTCTGTTCTGGGTGTTCTGGTACATGGCCCTCTTCTCCCAGGATGGGGGCCTCTTCCCTCTGTAGTGGTCTGTGTTCAGACTTCCTTTCATAAGGACACCTGTCGTACCAGATGGGCGCCCACCCTAATGACCTCATTTTAACATAATTAGCTCTTGAAGACCTTGTGGACAAATAGATGACATCCTAAGGTACTCGGGGTTAAGGTTTCAGCGTATGAGTGGGGGGCAGGGATACAGTTCAGCCCCTAACATCAGGGCGGCCACAGTTTGCAGGCTCTGGAATGTGGGTAGAGGAGGAGTGACACAAGGGAGGAGAATGCCTGGAGGTGAAGGCATCCTGGAAAGTGGGAATTGGGTGGGTCTTTGAGCCCAGAGGGGTAACCTGAGGCCCCAAGGGACAGTGCCAGCCTCAAGGTACTTACTGGTTGGTAGCACAGCCAGACATAGAGCTGAGAGATTTTTCCACCCCTGCTTCCTTTTGTGGTTGGAGCAGATGGGACCTGGCACTCTCTGCATTTGCCATGGGGGAGAACACGGACAGGCGGCAGGGCTCCTGCGTCAGAGTCGCTCCGGCAGGTGACAGGCAGATGGCCACCTCCGAGGAGCAGCCTTGGCAGGGGGGCTACAAACTGCCTAAGAGAGGGCTGGCCACTGGGAAGAGCTGGGGCCGGCCCTGTGTGTGGGATGCTCAGCCACGTTAGCACCCACCCCAGAGCTGTCCCCACTGTGACCCCAGGCTGGGCAGCCCTTCCCATGTCGGATCGGTGAGGTGGGAAAACACACTCCTGTGTATTCCTCCTTTATCTCACACTCTTAGTGCATGATACTGCAGACACCAGAGGTATGGGGGTTTGCTACACATCAAGCAGTTCTTTGGCACCAGCTCGGTGGCCTGCCATTTAACTGAATATTGACACTAGCTACCTGGCATCGGTGTCAGATCCTACAGGTTAAGGCCCAGTCCTGCAAGATCACCCCCCACTTCAGATGCAAGTCTCAGATTGTCACCTGTACTTCTTGATAGCTACATACTGGGGTTCTGACCAATCCCCTTGTTGGATTCAATAATTTGCTAGAATAGCCCATAGAAGTCGGAGAAACACTTAGGTTCACGGGCTTATTACAAAAGGATATGATAAAGGATTCAGATGACCCTCCAGATGGAAGAGATGCATAGGGCAAGCCGGAGCTTCCAAGCCATCTTGTACCACCCTGCCGTCACCTCCATGGTCAGCGACCTGGGAGCTCTCCAAACCCCGCACTTTGGGGGTTTTATGGAGGCTTCATTACACAGACATGATGGATAGTTAACCCAATCTCTATCCCTTCTCCCCTTCCCAGAGAAGTAGGGATGGGGCTGAAAGTTCCAAGCTTCTCATCACAGCTTGGTGTTTTTGGTGACAAGTCCCCAACTTGACTTGAAGCTGTCCAGGATCGCACCAGGCATAACCTCATTAGAACAAAAGACATTCTGATCACACAGGAAATTCCAAGGGATTTAGGGCTTTTGTGTCAGGAACTGAGGCCAAAGGTCAGATAGTAGAAAAGAAGATGCTCCTAGTGCTATTATCACTTAGGACATTACCGGGGTTTTATGAGCTGTGCCAGAAACCGGTTGCTGAGACCAACATATACACATTTTTTTTTTAATTATTCCACTGTCAGCAAACTATTGCCTAAAGGACAAAAAGGGCTCTCCACTTGTTTTTGTAAATTTTTATTGGACCCCAGCTGTACTCATTCCTTTCCATACGACTGCTCTCATGATACAAGGGTGAGGTTGAATAGTTGAGACAGGGACCAGATGGCCAGCAGAGCCCAAACTGCTTGCATTGTCCCAAGAAGTTTGCAGACCCCTGCTCTTGTGCTGTGGGCTCTGTAGTTCTGGGTACCAGGTGTGCCCCCGGAACTCCCTTGTGCTCACGTGGAGAAAAATCAGTCCATGTGGGCTGCTATAACAAAACTATCAGAGAACATTCATTCCTCATGGTTCTGGAAGCTGGGAAGTCTAAGATCAGAGTGCTGGTAGAGAACCTGGTGCCCGGTTCATCAACGGTTGTGTTTTCTGTGTCCCCACAAGGCAGGAGAGGGAAGGCACCTCCCTGGGCTTTCTTTCCTGGGGGCACTCCTCCTATTCCTGACCTCGCCGCCTCCCACAGGCCCCACCTCTCAATACCATCACACTGGGGATTAGGATCTCAGCATAGGAATTCTGGACACTTTACAAACTGATACTCTCGGGACTCCTTAGTTCTCTGCATTCTACCTCCCTGTAACCTCCTCCACCTCCTCCTCAGCAAGGCACCTCCTCGTCTTCAAGGCAAAGCCCCTTCTTTCCACACCCCCAGCAGGCTGCTGGTGGTGGCAGTTTCCTCTGCAAGATTGATTTTATTTCTTTTTAAATACCTGCATCGGTGTGTTCGATGGGCAGAAGGGTGGGGTGCAAGGGACCAGATGTGACGTGCTCAGGGCCGCAGGGTGCCTGCGTCATCACTATTAAAGTGTTGCACTTTCTTGAGCACGTCCCATGTATCAGGCACGGTGCTGAGTGCTTTCTGTTGCCTCACGTAAGTGTCCCCATAGGACGTATGCGTTCATCCAGCGGATACTGAGGGCCCACCGTGGGCCAGGCATTCTCCAGGTCTTGAGAATAGGGCAGTGATTGATTGACATACGTGGAATCCCTGACCTCGTAGAGCAGAGTCCCGTGAAATTGGAGACACCAAGGACAAAATAAGCGCAATGCACAGCGTGTTAGAGGTGAAAGGCACTCTGGAGAAAAAAAAAAAAAAAAAAAGCAGAAAACAGGTAATGCCGAGTGTTGGGTGGGGTAAAGGCCGTAGTTGTAAATAGCACCATCAGGGTAGGTGGCATTTGAGTAGAGTTGAACTGTGTTGATTTCTGGGGAGAGAGCGTTCCTGTGAAGGAAACAGCATGTGCAAAGGGTCGAGTTAGGCAGACCACAAAGAGAAGTGGTGGTGTGGTCTGAGTGACGGGGACAGCTGGGGAAGAGGTCAGAAGGTCAGTGGTAGGTCCAGGTCGTGCAGAGCCTTGTGGCCCATCGTGAAGACATGGGCTGTCATTCTGGGTGAGATGAGAGCCCTGTAGGGTTCTGAGTGGAGGAGGGACGTGGTCTGAGTTACCTTTTTTATTTTTTTTTAAACTTTTTTTTTTTTAATTTTTATTTATGATTGTCACAGAGAGCAAGAGAGAGAGAGGCAGAGACACAGGCAGAGGGAGAAACAGGCTCCACGCACCGGGAACCCGACGTGGGATTCGATCCCGGGTCTCCAGGATCGCACCCCGGGCCAAAGGCAGGTCCTAAACCACGGCGCCACCCAGGGATCCCTGAGTTACCTTAAAAAAAAAAAAATACCTGCACCATACCCATTTATTCACACTGTATTAGCGTATAACATACACACTTTTAAAATTTGTGGTAAAATGCACAGAACATCAAATTTACCTTCTTTGGGGCACCTGGCTGGCTCAGTCAGTTAAGCATCTGCCTTCGGCTCAGGTGGTGATTCCAGGGTCCTGGGATTGAGCCCTGCATCGGGTTCCCTGCTGTGCAGGGAGCCTGCTTCTATCTCTCTGCCTCTCCCTCTCTCTGTCTTTCATGAATAAATAAGTAAAAATTAAAAAAAAAATTTTTACCCTCTTCGTCATTTTTAAGCTCCATAGTGTTAAGCAAGTGTTAAATAAGTAGTTCGTGTGGTATAGGCACTCTCTGTCCATCCTACACAACTACAACTCTATACCCATTAAGCAATAATTCCTCTTCCCAGCCCCTGGCAAGCATCATTTTCCTTTCTCCATGCACTTGACTACTCTAGGTGCCTCTTACAAGGATGTGTCTTATTTTGGCAGGCTTATTTCACTTAGCATCGTGTGCTCAGAGTTTATCCATGTTGTAGCACGTGTCTGAATTTCCTTCGTTTTTATTTTTTTAAGATTGTATTTATTTATGAGAGACACAGAGAGGCAGAGACATAGGCAGAGGGAGAAGCAGGCTCAATGCAGGGAACCAGATATGGGACTTGATCCCCGGACCACAGGATCATGCCCTGAGCCAAAGACAGGTGCCCAACCGCTGGGCCACCCAGGCGTCCCTGAATTTCCTTCCTATGTAAGGCTGAATTATATTCCTTTGAATGTGTCTGCTTCATTTTGTTTATCCATTCATCCATCAGCGTCCACTTGGGCTGTTTCCTCCACATTTGGCCGTTGTGCATAATGCTGCCGCAAACACGGGTGTGCAAATCTCTCTTCAATACTCTCTCTGCTTTCAGTTCTTTGGGGTGTATACCTAGAAGCAGAATTGCTGGATCCTATGGTAATGTTCTGTTACATTTTTTGAACAACTGCCATACTATTTTCCTTAGGAACTGCACGATCTTTGCTCTTCCCCTGGCAACGCACAAGGGTTCCAGTTTCTCCACATTCCCACCCACACTCCCTTATTTTCTGTTTTCTGATAGTAGCCCATCCTCAAGGGTGTGAGGCGGTGTGTGGTGGCGTCTTTGATTTGCACTTCCCTGATGAAGAGTGATGTCGAGCATCTCCTCGTGTGCTTGTGGGCCATCTGTAGATCTTCTCTGGAGACATGTCTGTTACAGTCCTTTGCCCATTTTAGAACCAGGTTTTTGGTTATTGAGCTGTAGGAATTCATCATCTAGAATGGATGTCTAGAATAGACATTAGCTTCATATTAGATGCACAGTTTGCAAATATTTTCTCCCATTGCCTGGCTTGCCTTTTGTCTTTTTTCTTTCTTTTCTTTTCCTTTTTCTTTTACTGTTTATCATGTCCTTCAACATACAGAAGTTTTTGTTGTTGTTGTTGTTTGTTTTTTTTTGTTTTTTTACTTTGAGGTAGTTTATTTCATGTAACTCTTGCTGCCTCTGCTTTTGGTGTCACAGCCAAGAAATCATTCCCAAACCCAGCATCGTGACATTACTCGGCTATGTTTTCTTTGAGGAGTTCTATGGCATTTGCTTGCATATATAGGTGTTTGAATCATTTCGAGTTGATTTTTGTGTGTGGAATAGGTGAGAGTCTCACTTCATTCCTTCGCATGTAGAGATCCAGTGTTCCTAAGAGCGTTGGTGGGAAAGTGTCCTTTCCCCCATTGAATGGTCTTGGGCACCTGTGTGATAGATGAGAGGATTTGTCTCTGGGCTCTCTGTTCTTACCCACTCGTCTATATGCCAGTACCTCACTATTTTGATTACCACAGTTTTATAATAAGGTTTGAAGTCAGGAAGTGTGAGACCTCTAACTTTGTTCTTCCTTTTCAAGATCACTTTGCCTATTCATGGTCCCTTGAGATTCCATATGAATTTTAGGATAGATATTCCTCTTCAGAAAAAAAAATCCACCCCATGTGACACCTGGGTGTCTCAGTTGGTTAACTGTTGGTCTTAGGCTCAGGTCATGATCCCAGGTTTGTGAGATGGAGCCCCATGTCGGGCTCCCTGCTCAGTGGTGAGCCTGCTTCTCCCTCTCCCTTTGCCTGCTACTCCACCTACTTGTGGGCTCTCTCTCTCAAATCAATAGATAAATCTTTTTTTTTTTTTTTTTTTAAAGGGGGAACGCTTGGATGGCTCAGCAGTTGAGTGCCTGCCTTACACTCAGTGCGTGATCCAGGAGTCCCGGGATCGAGTCCCACATCAGGCTCCCTGCATGGAGCTTGCTTCTCTCTCTGCCTATGTATCTGCCTCTCTCTGTGTGTCTCTCATGAATAAAGAAATGAAATCTTTTTTTTTTTAAAGCCCACCCCTAAACAACAATAAGAGTAACAAAATGCCACTGGGATTTTGATGGGGATTACATCTGTAGGTTGCTTTGGGTTTTATTGTCGAAGATATTGAGTCTTTCAGTCTCTGGACACATGGGATGCCTTTCCATTTATTTGTGTCTTTACAAAATTATCTCAGCAGGTGTATAATAGCTTTCAACATACAGGCCTCTCACCTCCTTGGTTAAGTTTATTTCTCAGTATTTTATTCCTTTTGACGTTTTTGTAAATGGAGTATTTATATTCTTTGGATTGTTCATTGTCAGTGTTTAGAAATATGGCTGATTTTCACATGTTGATTTTGTATTCTGCAACCTTGCTGAATTTATTTATGACCGCTCACAGTTTTCCTGTGACATCTTTGGGGTTTTCTGTACGTAAGATCATGCTGTCTGCCAGCTGAGACCATTTTACTTCTTTCTTTCTGATTTGCATACCTTCTATTTCTTTTTCTTGCCCTAACTCATCTGGCTAGCACACCCAGTGCTATGTGCAATAACAGAGGTGAGAGCAGGCATCTTTGTGATCTCCTTGACTTTGAAGGCAAAGTTTTCGGGATCCCTGGGTGGCGCAGCGGTTTGGCGCCTGCCTTTGGCCCAGGGCGCGATCCTGGAGACCCGGGATCGAATCCCACATCGGGCTCCCGGTGCATGGAGCCTGCTTCTCCCTCTGCCTATGTCTCTGCCTCTCTCTCTCTCTCTCTGTGACTATCATAAATAAATTTTTTAAAAAAATTAAAAAAAAAAGAAGGCAAAGTTTTCAACCTTCCATCATTGTATGGGATGGTAGCTCTGGGTTTTTCATGTATGGCTTTTATTATGTTGAGGTAGTTTCTTGCTATTATTAGTTTAGTGAGTGTTTTATGAGAAAAGGGTGTTGCATTGTGACACATTCTTTTTCTGCATCAACCAAAATGCTCTTGTGTTTTTTTTTTCTCTCTTCATTACATTAACGTGATTTATTACATCAGTCGGGTTTTGTGTCCTGACCCATCCCTGCATTTTAGCAATAAATCCTAATTTAGTCATGCAGTGCTGTCCTTTCTAGATATTGCTGAATCCTTTTTTTTTTTTTTAAGATTTTATTTATTTATTCATGAGTCACTGAGAGGCAGAGACACGGGCAGAGGGAGAAGCGGCCTTCTTGCGGGGGAACCTGATGTGGAACTCGATCCCGGGACACTGGGATCACGACCTGAGCCAAAGGCAGACACTCAGCTACTGAGCCACCCAGGTGCCCCTAGATATTGTTTATTTCTCTTTGCTAGTATCTTGTTGCAGATTTTGACATTGACATTCATTGGAGACATTAGTTTGTAGTTTTTGTGTAGTGTCTTGCCTGGCTTTGGTTTCAAGGTAATGTTGGCCTCATGCAATGAAAGTATTCCCTCTACTTCAATTTTTTTTTTCTAGTGGAAGATTTGAGGAGAATTGGTGTTAATTTTTATTTTAGACATTTGGGTCTTCTCTCTCTCCCTTTTTAAGTCAGTGTGGCTTGTCAATTCTGCTGATATTTTTTGAAGAATCAACTCTCTTGGTTTGTTAAAAATTTCCCATCATATTTCTGTTTTCCATTTTGTTACCTCTATTCCTTCTGGTAGCTTTGGGTTTAGTTTGTTCTTTTATAAAGGCAGATTGTTGATTTCAGATCTTTCCCATTTCTTTTAACATAAGCACTTCCAGCTATAATTTCCCCCCATCACTGCTTTCATGGCATCACATGGATTTTGGTGTGTTGCATGTTCATTTGCATTTGCCCATTTGCCTCAAGATATTTGTTAATTTCTCTTGCGATTCCTTCTTTGACCCATTGCTTGTTGAAGAGCATTTGGCTTAACTTCCACCCACACAATTGGTTTCTAGTTTCATGCCACTGTGATCAGAAAAGATACCTTGTATGATTTCAGTCTTTGAAGATTTGTTAAGACTTCTGTGTCTTGTCTATAACATGCTCTATCCTGAAGAATGCTTTATGCACACTTGACAAAAAAATGTGTGCTCTACCCTTGTTGAGGGGGTGAGTGACTACTGTCTGTCTCTTAGGTCCAGTTTGTCCATAATGTTGTTCAGGATCTCTGTTTCCTTATTGATCTTCTCTTTGTTCTGTTGACTTCCATTTTATTTTATTTTATTTTATTTTATTTTATTTTATTTTATTTTATTTATTTTATTTTATTTTATTTTATTTATTTTATTTTATTTTATTTATTTTATTTATATTTATTTTATTTATTTTATTTTACTTTATTTATTTTATTTTATTTTATTTTATTTTATTTTATTTTATTTTATTTTATTTATTTTATTTTATTTTATTTTATTTTATTTTATTTTATTTTATTTTATTTTATTTTATTTTATTTTATTTTATTTATTATTTTTGACTTCCCTTTAAACAAGAACCTTCTGGCTGTGTTAAAACAAATGTCCAGGGAGGTGGAGGCAGAGAGGCAAGCAAGAGGTTGCAGAGTCCATCCAGGAGAGACATGACTTGGAGCAGGGCCACTTGGACTAGAGAGATGCTGATGGAGAGGATGAGAAATGGTCAGGCACTGGGTTGACAGAGCCAACAGATTTTATTGATTCTGGGAGTTAGTAAAGGAATTTGCCTAAGGTCCTACAGCTAGTAAGTGGTCGGGCCAGGATTGAACCCAGTCCTGTCTGGCCCCCAGTTTTTAGCTCTTAATGAAGCACTGTGCTTTTCCAAAAGCACTCCTGACCCCGCTGCCTGGTCATCCCATTCTATTCCCGAAGAACGTCCAGGTCTGGGTGCTTGGCAGTCCCCTTCTGGCGGGTTCTCAGACACTGGGTTGAAGGCTAGCATCACTGTATCCTGCCTCAGGGGAGCAAAAGAAAGGAGGAGGCAGGGATCTGGGGAGAGAGAGAGTGGTGGGTAGATGCTTTGAGACCGTGTGGCCTTAATGGCATGTTGCAGAGGAGCTCAGCCGCTGGAATCAGACAAACCGAGGTGTAAGCCTTGACTCTCCTCTCACAGCTGTGTGACCCCAGGCAGATGACACCCTCTCTGTGCCTATTTGCTCCCTTGATAAACAGGGATGTTAATGCTGCTGCTCTATTTGCCCACACACATGGTGACAAGAAAGTATTTTCAGCTGAGATATTCTCCCAAAGCAGAAGCCAGTCATGATCTTTCAAGTCATTTGTTCCTCAAACTGAATTTTACTAAGCACCTATGATATACCAGAGCCATAGATATCAAGCAGAGCGTTCCCCCTCGTGAGGTCTCCCGCCTGGCAGAGAAGATGAAATCCATAGGAGTCTGATGGGTGTTATAAAAGCAGCCAGTGTGGGAGCCCTGAAAGCAGGGGAATTTATTCTCCCAAACAGGTAATATTTTAGCCATGACGGGAGTACAGTAAAAGAGGCCAGATGGGGTTTTAGGCGGGGTGATGCATGCGCACCACTAACATTTCCTGCAGGCCCCCTCTGTGCCGGGCTGCAAGCTCAGCCCAGGGTGCGTGTGACCTTGTTCAGTCTTCCCATAGCCCCTGGAGGCAGATGCTATTCCTGTACACCCTTTACCAATGAGAAAACGAAGGTTCAGAGAGGTGATGTGATTTGCCTGAGGAAACACAGCTAGCAGCTAAAGGGGCCAGGCTGTGCAGCTCTCCAGCTGAGACTGAAGAAACCCATATAGGTTGAAAGTCCAGCTGCCTCTGCCTGGCTATGTGGCCTTGAGTAGGCCAGTTTGCCTCCCTGAGCCTCAGTCTCCATGCCCGTAAGTAGGACCAGTTCCACGGGATGGGCAGGATAGTTTTCAGACTTAGAAATGCAGCTGGCAAAGCCCAGCTTGGAGCTTGCGGAGCTCAGAGGTCAGCAGCTGTTTACGGAGAGAGTGCCGAGTTGCTTGTGTGGGGTGGGCCCCGCCACATGTTTTCCATGGAGCGTGACCAGGGATGCTCTGAGGCCTGTCTTCCTCTCCAGGAGACAGCCAGAGGGCAGGGAGAGAGAGGCACAGAGAGCCTGAGATTGCCCTCTGATTGGGTGGGTTGCTGAGCTGGCCCGGCTGAGGCCAAGGTGGAGGGCGCCACGAGCAGCCAGGAAGACCATGGAGGGGTTTGGATTCAAAACTGTTCCCCATAGTGACACCGTGCAGAGTGGGACTCAGAATCTGGCAAGGCAGAAGGGTGTTCAGGCCACCAGAGGGTCACTTCTGTGAGCAAAGGCACGACTACCCTTTCAGTGTGTGTCCCCTGTGCCTGGTGCATCAGTGGTGCCTCAGACTCAGCCTGGAATTGTCTCCACACTGGGCCAGCTCTACTTCTCTAGGCAAGCTGCTTCACCTCAGTGAGCCTGTTTCCAGATAGGGGATAATGAACCCAGCCGGTAGGCGCCTGAACAGGGATTTGAACCCAGGTCTGCCAGATTCCAGGGCCGATTTGTCACTGTACCTTCCTGATTCTTTTATATACTTATTTCCTTCTTTCATTCCTTCAGAAAATATTTACGGAGCACTTGCTATGCACCAAGCACTGTTGTAGTCTCCGTGGATATAGCAGTGAGCAAGGCAGATGAGGCCCTGCCCTCAGAGCGTTTATATCCTAGAGGAGGGAGACGGTAAGCAAAGAAACAGGACAGGACTAGTGTAAGTACCCTGAAGGAACTGTAACGAGGAATGGATGGAGTAGGGGGACGGCTGTCTCAGATAATGGGGTCAAGGAGGGAGATGACATTTCGTGTGACATCTGAAAAGTGCAGAGCAAGCCCCCGAAAAAATACTTCAGGAGAATGTGAAGTGTGGAGCTCTTATAGGCCACAGGCCTCAGACTTAACAGAAGACGGGGTGAGGAGGGTGTGAAAGGAAAGCAGTTATCAAAACGCTGCGGACGGCCTCAGAAGCCCAGGAGGGGCGACACAGCCCTTTGGGGTGACCACACCCCGGGTCGCATTTGGGTCTCCCGTCCAGCTGCCTCTGCCTTCCAGGTGAAGCAGATCATGGAGGAGGCCGTCACACGGAAGTTTGTCCACGAGGACAGCAGCCACATCATCTCCTTCTGTGGTGAGTCCGTGGCCTGTGGCCTTGAAAGTGGCTTCTTTCTCTATGGGCTGACCTGGGGGAGTGGCATCTTTGTGCAAGCAAGCGTTCTTAACTGCCTTTTTGCTTTGTAACTCCAAAGTTATTTTCAGATTTCCAAGGGGCCCCATTAGGGAATTTGGAAATACAGCAATGTCTCCAGAAGACATTAAGAATGGCCCCCTTGCAACCTACGAAGGGTTAATCACTGTTGATCCCGGAGGGCCTGCTTTCCCCTCTCAGTTCACAGCCGCCAACCCACACCCCTAGTGATGTGGGTCTCGCATCTGAGGAACGGCTCCATCTGAGGAACGGCTCCGTGCCCCTTCCCCCGCCCTGCCTATGGCTGTTGCTAAATAATGGGAGGGGACGGATGGGCTTTAAAAATACAGGGAGAGAGGAACCATCACACCGTCCTGAGGGATCATGTCCAGCTGGCTCAGCACAGGAGGCAGGCCCAGGGCTCAGAGCATGACTCAGACGTCTCTCCTTGAATCAGCTTTGCTTGCAAGGCCTCAGAAATAACCATGCTGCCAGGTTCTTACTATACTTCCACCTCGGCCACAGGCTGCAGACGCAGGTTTTGCGTGTCCCCGGAGTCAGGATTCCGTTTCGACGTATCAGTGTGTACGTATAAGTGGGGGAGTTTCTTTCTCCGTGAAAACCTTTATTATTTCGTGACTGGCATGTGTTGGGGTGAAGGACGTGCGGTAATCCCCCTCTCGTGGCCTTGGTCTCGTAGAGAGGCCCGAGCGAGGAGACCTGACTGGGCCCTCGGCTTCATCCAGATGGCTGGGCGTACCACCTGTGGGAACACACGTCATGACCTGGGAGCCTGCTGACGTCAGTTTGGGCCCTTTGCAGCCAGGCAGACCTGGGTTCACATCCCTTCTCTGCCACCTGTGTGTTGGGTGACCTTGGCAAATTTTATGTTTTTTGAAGTGAGATCTGTTTAACCTACATATATATGTATATTTATATACTTGCATATTTATGTATATATATAGAGGAGTCTGTATGCACAAAATTACATGAACGTGTATGTATATGAAAGACACATAGACGCACAAATGTGAATATGGGAATGTATTTACCTATATTTTTTTCTCCCGGACATCTTTATTTGCAAAGAAAATAATCGGCATGCCCATTTCAGAATGTGCTACGATACCTACCCATTAAAGACTTAGAGGAATAGAAAGTGATAAAAATCACAATAATCCTCTAACTCCAGCCACAGTTTGGGATGAGGGAAGAAATGTGATGGCACTGAGTAAGGCCTACAGGGTCTCCCTGAGGTGTCTCTGATCCACCGTTCCTTAGGATTCATTGTCAGAAAGAGTCAACCAAGCTGCCAATACCTGGATAGTTACTTAACTTCTTGAAGTATAAATGGATGAAAAGTGTTGTGTGTGTAAGCAGAAATGAAGGTGTTTAAGAGATGCTTATCCAGACTATTTTAAGCCCATAAGCAAATTAGGCAATAGGTGGACATTCATTCAAAGCCAAGCAATTACTGGGGCACCTGGCTGGCACAGTTGGTAGAGCACACAACTCTTGATCTCAGGGTTATGAGCTCAAGCCCCATGGTGGATATGGAGCCTATTTTTAAAAGATTTAATTAAAAAAATAAAAGCCAAGTAATTGCTAACAACAACAACAACAACAACAAAAAACCCAAGACAAGTAATTGAACCAGAACTTCTCAGTATTTGCCCTTGCACACAACATGACCTTGACCGGGCTCTTAACCCTTGGACTGTTGGCGTTCTCCTTCTTTGGAGTGACAGCGACTAGCACACTCACTTCATGGGCTTTTTCCACCAGGATTGAGTAAGGTAAACCTCCACACTGGTCTCACTGTGTGAGATAGAAGGTAGGAAAATACTAATAGAGGCCTGCAGAAAGTACCAGAAATAAGATTGGGGTCCTCAGAGTGGCCTCCACAGGGACTATTTCCCAGCAGGGAACACTAAGTCCCAGAGATGGAAAGTGATTTGCTTGAGGTCACACAGCAAGTTAGAGGTAGAGCCCAGACTACCACCCAGGGCAAACACAGACACGGGAAGATGATGAGTGAAGCCTCTCTTCAAATTCTTCATGGAGGCACAGGTGTTGTGAGCACACTGTGGGCTCAGGCCTGGTTTTGAATCCCAACTTGGTCACTTATTTGCCAGGTGGCCCTGGGCAATTCGGTTTGCTTCTTAGAGCCTCAGTTTTCACATCTGAAAAATGGGGATGGTTGTCCTTTCTTCCTTGGCTGTGGCAGAGGGAGAACGAGATCTGTAACGCTAGCTGTTACTGGAATCACAGTAGTGACGTTCATGTCACTTTTATCTTGAGCCCAGACAAAGCTCAACAGTCCTGTGGTCTGGTCCCTCCTCTCTCCCTGGCAGGAGTAATAGCTAATGTTCCTAAAGCACTTACTGTGTACTGGGCTCTATGTGAAGTGCTTTCCATGCATTTTTTCCACCTCATTCTAACAGCAACCTTTTAAGATGCACATTCATGCTCTCCCCACTTCACAGATGAAGAAACTGAGACACAAGGAGGGGAAGTAGTTGCTGGAGGTCACACGACTGCTTAGTGTCTGGAGAAGGACGTGGGCAGATAGTCTGACCTTGGGCAGCGAGCATAGGTTAACTCCTCAGCTGTCTTGCTCCCTTTCGAGGGAGTGGAAGGGAGAGAGGCCTATGCGGTTTTCCCATGTGATGCTCTCATGAATTCTGAGATGCTGGGCCCACAGCTCTCCAGGGCACCTCTGTGTGACTGAAGTCCTGGGCTGGGTGAGTGGGAGTGTGGGCAGGGCAGGACCTACTGACTGTCATGTCCCTACAGCGGCTGTGGAGGCCTGCGTCCTGCACGGGCTGCGGCGGCTGGCTTTCTGCGCTACAACAAGATTGGAGCTCTCTTCACGAAAGTGGACAAGAACTGCCCGCCAGCCAAGGAGCTGAGCCACGAGGTGCAGGACCTGGAGGGGCTGATTGAGAGCACGTGAGTATGGAGCATGGGGTATGGGCAGGGCACGCCCTGCAGAGGACAGTCCCCCTGACTCCACGTTCCTCCCTGAGCTCTGCAAGAACCCATACCTCCTGCCAGTTCCTCTCTCCAGTTTCCTTTCTGCTCCCCAAACCTGCCAGATTGTTTCCTACCCCAGGGCCTTTGCACTTGTTCTACCCACCACCCGTTCCCGTACTTCATTTTCTGTGGCTGGTTTCTTGTCATCTCAGGCCTTGCCCCAGTTAAGGATAAATTCCAACCCTCACCCAATTTTTCTTTTAGATCATCACTCTATTTACTTACTTTCCTGTGGTTATCACCACCTCTAATTACTCTTTCATTTGTTTCCTTGATTCTTGTCTATCTTCCCCGCTTAACTCTGAACTCCTGAGAACAGGCAACTAACATCTGTTACTCCCCATCCCCAGTGCCTGGACACTGCCTAGCACCTGGAAAATGTTCGAGACACGATTGTTGAATGCATAAAGTGGCTTTTGGGAGCCAGACCCCATTCTGAATGCAGGAAGACCAAAGTTTAATCAAAGCAGTATGGTCTCTGTCTGCATGGACCAGGTGTCACATTGAGGCCACCATTGAAGGGGAGCCTTGACTTCACTCACATGTCTTAAGAGCTGATTATGTTTGCTGGGGGGAGGCTCATGGCCTGAGTATGTGTACCTGAGCCCCCTCCACCAGAGCCTCACCAGAGTCCTAATTGTTCAGCCAAAGCCTTGATCTGGAGCCTGGTCAGGGATGGCAAATAGGTTTCAGCTCCAGTTGTTGCTAGAGGCTGCCCAAAGGACTTGTTGTGGAAGATTCTAGAGCTACTCTTGGGTTTCACAGGAAAGAATGCTCAGATTGATTAGATGGCAAGAGACAGGAGAGAGAAGCACACATGCCATGTTTGCCTTCTCTGCCATGGGTGCTCCTTCCACTTCACTGGATGGGCAATGGCCCTTGCCTTGCCTTTCAGGCCATACCAGCCCAGAGCTGCTGGCCAGAACTGTGTGATGGGCAGGGCTGTGGATTTCACATTGCCAACTCCCATTAGGAATCTGACTCCTCAGCCACTTGGTTTTCAGGTCCATCTGCTAAATTCCCAGGTGTTTGCTGGGAACTTCTTAAAGGGGTGGATGTCCATCAGCCTTCCATGATATTGGGAGTGACTTTCTAATGAAGGAATTAGAGATACCCATGCCAGGTGGTAAGGGAGAGCCATTCCTTCATTCATGCAACCACTCATCCGTGACAGAGAGGTAGAAGAGAAGAGAATTGAATCACTATGAGAATCCGGCTTACCCATCAACAGTGTATGAAAGTATTTCACAGCGTCTTCATGCTTGCTGGGTATTATGATTCCTCCAACTCTTTGCCCACTTGCCAGGAGCAATAAGGGCTCTTTTGTTGTTTTAGTTGCCATTCCTTCATTTCCTTGAGAGGTTGCTGTTTGCATATTGGTCCTGTTGCATTTCCTCTTTTGTGAATATTCATCCTTCTTCTTTACTGGTCTTGAAGGCGAAATCAGATCCAGGGCCTCCAGGACAATGTGCGGAAGCTGCCGAAGCTGCCCAGCCTGTCCCCACTGGCCATCAAGCACCTGTGGATCCGCACTGCCTTGTTTGAGAAGGTGCTGGACAAAATTGTGCATTACCTGGTGGAAAACAGCAGGTGAGCCCGAAAGACCAGACGCCTGGGTGTGCTCTGCCGCCACCTGCTGGCCTTCTTGGAAATTGCACCCTGTTGCGCAAAGCACCTTTCTTTTCTCCCCCTTGATATGCACTTGACTTGAAAGAAATTACATGAAGGCCATCTGGATGTTCGTCTCCGAATTAGCCTAGTTTAGGACCTTGGGACAATTCAGGTGCTTACTGGCAACGCCGGATCTCCAGATTAGGAGTGGGGTGTAGGATCTTGCAATCTTAGGCATCTTTCTTCTCCCATGAATTAAGCCTACTGTCTTCTTACTAACCATGGCCCTTGGAGGAGTCATTTAGCTTCTCTGTGTCTCTCCTCTCATTTGGTAAGTGGGACAGGGATCGCTGCCATTCTGGAGAAGAGGTGAGAAGGGAAGATAGTGAGTCCACAGCATTTTGGAAATTTATAATTATACTTTCTTACATTTTTTTTTCTAGCTCAGATCAGCTTGGTGTAAATGTTTTGTAGCATGAGCCCTCTTGGCAAGCATTTATCCATCCATTCATTCATCCAATATATATTTAATGAGCACCTAGCAAGTGCCAGGCACTAACCTTAGACGTTGGGGATACATTGGTCTTAACTGTCATGTTCAAAGCTTGGATGTTATGCTAAGGGATAGGGAAGCTGGGGAAGAATGTAAAATCTGAGACTCTTCATGACCAGTACTCCTTTCCAGCCAGAGGGGGAGAGGGAGAGAGAGAATATCAAGGAAATACATGAGAATCTCCTCATCTCTTGGTATACGAAAGTGCCTATTTAACTACATCCTCACATAAAATGGGTATTATGATTATCTTTCCTTCTTTGCCTGTTTGCCTGGAAAACATATCTGAAAGTATAGAACAAATCCTTCTCTTCATGAACCTCACATGGTAGCAGGGAAAACAGGTAACTAGTAATTGGGATAATATATGATGAATATTCCAAACTAGGTGGGTGGTGTTTAATCTCCTCTGGGTGGTCAGGGAAAGTGTCCTGGAACACATGGCAGTTAAGCTTCCGTTTGAAGTGCCTGTAGGCATTAACCGGATAAAGGTGTAGGGGAAAGAGTGTTTCTAGCAGAGGGACAGCAGGTGCAAAGGCCAGGAGGCAGGAGAGGAACTGGAAGAAATCCAGGCTCTGGAGTCCAATTACACCTTCTCGTGAATTATGACAAGTCTCTGCTCTGTGCCCTGACGTGGGTTCAGGGCCTCTGTAGTTACTGCCTTTGGTCTATGACCTTGTGTTTTCTGCTGAATAAATCAGTCAAAAGGAATTAGTGATTTATTTCAGCAATAACGCCAACCTCTTTATTTATTAAACTTCTTATTTTTTTTACATTCACACAGAAGTTGTAACATTAGTACAGAGTCTCCCCTACCCTTAGTGATAACATCCTCCATAACCTGCACTGTACCTTCATAACCTAGGAAGGTATGTTCTGTGTTATATGGAAGAGGTTTTGGTTCAAGAAAAATTCAGGTCTCCCCACTGGCTGTGGGGTAGGGACACTAGAAACAACACAAATGTTTCTTTTTCAATTTAAACGTTTTTATTCCAGAGCAGAGGTGGATAAACTATAGCTCGTAGACCTAATCTAGCTTTCTTCACGTTTGGCAAACAAAATCCTATTGGACCCTAGCCTTACTGATTCATTTGCCAGTCATTTATGGCTGCTTTTGTGCTACAGTGACAAACTGAGTACTTGTGACAAAGTCTTACGTTCTTTAAAACTGAAAATATTTATTGTCTAGCCCTTTACAGAAAAAGGTTCTTGAACCCTGCATTAGAGAAAAAGCTCTTCATCACTGTCCATCACAGTCCTGGCTCTCTAATCAAGCCAGCAACATGATATACTTGACTCTGTTCTAACTACAATTAACTGTTCTTTGCTCTGATCTTTCTTCAAATAGAACCTATCCTGCCATTGCCTTTGAAGAAACTTCCCCAGATGGCCTTGTGAGTTCTTTGCCTCTCTTAGTTATTGTGGCCCATGCCAGGCATACAAAACTAAGACGTTTCTTGTGGTCACGTGGAATGGTGACTACCTCAGACTTTGAACTCTAACCGTTTTAACATTTCTCTTGATTTGAAAACAGGTTTTCTTTTAAAAGAGTATTTGGTCAGAAAATCTCTCTACTAACTCAGAGGTTAATATTGTAATGGAGACTAACCAGGGAGCCAGAGCTGCTAAGGTAAAAAATTGGCTGAAGGTCTGACAGCCACTCCTGCTGCAGTGCCACCACCTACTTCTGGCCAGTCTGACAGGCTCCTTCAGGCTTCAGATAGTCCTGTGCGTTCACATTTCAGCAGAACCTGGACACTGGCCAGCAGGTGCCACTTGTTCTTGTTCTGCCTGAGATCTATTAAGTACAGCATGTGCTCCTTCTTCCCTATCCACTTCCATATTCTTGGCAGTTACCCCCGTCCTGTTTAGAAACCACTGTAATTCATCTACAAGCTTACGAAAGGTTTGAGAGTGGAAAGTATACTGACGAGAATTGAGTAAATGCAAGTCAAGACACACTGCACTCTATTAGCTGGGTGACTTCCAATAATTTGATTTACTTTTCTAGGCCTAAACATCACCACCCTGGATTTAATAGTCATTTAACAATAGCGGTTATATCTTGGCTCCATTAATCAGCAGGAAATAGGCAAGTGTTTGTTTTTCTTCCTTGCAATGATTCAATACTGCATGACTAAATTTTAGAGAAAAGCAAAGAATAAGAAAATAAGGCCACTCTGCTAATTACCAACAGAGCTGGGATAAATATCCACTCCTCCCAGCTTTAAAATCCCTACTCCCCCACCACCACCCCGATCCATCCAGTTTATCTGTAGCAACTGACCCTAAAACAACATGATCAAGGTTCTGATATCTGAGACTGCAAGAAGGCCCCAAGTGTAGCCCTGACTCAGTCTCACTGAGACAGCGGTGAGAGAGCAAGCAAACTGGGCTCTTTACCTCTGGATTAGGCCTTTGTAAACTGAACTCTGTGTCACAAAACAGTTATAATAATTAAACAAGAGTTGCAAGAATATCAAGTAATAGAAATGGGAAAGGAAAATAATACATCATTTTTAAGCATGAATGTAAGCCAGTGGCAATCTATAATTTAATCGACTGGCACTTGGTTTTTCCACTACTGGGAATACATATTTTCATATTCTACATAACCATGGCTAAATGAGGACAAAAATTGTTCCTTGATTTATGACTCCAGGTCATTTGTTGATTCCTATCTGATTTTCTCTAATGATTGATGCTTTTCACAAGGATGGGTTCCCAGAAAGACTGTTTTTTTTATGAAGTCCTAGACCCAATAAACTAGTTCACCATTTACCTTGGTTTAGAATTTTCATTTACATGTTGTTCTTAGTTTTCCATTTGTCCTGAATTTTAGTTTTACCCAATCTATAACTAAGAGAAATTGCATAGAGAAAATATTGTAGAATGATTAAAAGAAAGGATGTTTTTTGAATATGATTTTTTTAAAAATCCATCGACCTATTTTTGCAAGATTGTCAACTTATTGTGCAATGCTTTTCTGACTTCAGTATCCATGAGATTCTAATTCAGTAAGTCTGAGATTGGGCCCAGGAATTTGAGTTTTTAACAAGCATCCAGATGGCAGCAGGTAGATCATTGGACCACACTGTGGAATAACCTTTAATTGATTACTGTATTGTTAATATCCTTCAGGGTGGCACGGTGCTAGGTACTTAGTAATAAATTAATTGAATGGATAATCAAAAGGGCTAAGGAGAAATGAAACAATGTGAGGTGTTCCTTTATTCACTCAGTGATTCATTGTTTCAGCCCTCAATGAGTGGCTATCATGTACTGAACTTTATAGTATTGTTTGTGTGTGTGCATAGATACAATACATGTATGGACACTATAACTAAAATAGGTACTTTATGCATACTCTATGCTTCCAAAGAGCATGAGATCTAGTGAAGGTTGTGAGAAACAAAAAATGTCATCTCAAGGTAATATTTAGGTGTTATTAAGGTGATGGGTGTGCAGAGAAGTTACAACAATAAAAATAGAAAAAATAATGTCTTACCTTTTATATAACTGTTATATTAAATGAGCTATGTGAAAATAAGCTGGTAAGTTGTGAAAGGCCATATATCTGGAAATAATAAGATTTATAAATCTCTACCCCCTTTATAGAGATGGCAAGGTCTCCCCATCCCCATTGAGTGTGTTAACCAGATGCCTCAGCTTATCTTCCTTACTCCACAGGGTAGCGAATTAGATATCTCTGTATGAATTTCCATCAAACGAAGTATATGTTGCCTGTTTCTGAGGCTTGAAATCTGCAGGACTGAGGCTCTATGCTAATGACGTGCAACCTGAACCTTAAAATGTTTTACAAACTATAGTAGCTATTAAATAATTACTTGAACTTCTGGAAGTAATAAAAACCCCTCTCTTGAGATGCCTGAACAGAGTTTATCTCTTTACTAAGTATGTAAAATAATACTGTGGTGGGATAATCCTTAAAAATTGCTTCACTGTATCCTTGTTATTTGAGCACTATACATATATTTTTACCAATATTCAGAAAAGAGGGTATGAACTTTTTTCCTAGATTCCTGCAAGATCCAAACTTTACATGACAGTGGACTTCAGTAATATTCATGAACTTGCATGAGGTTCATGGAAAGCAGCACATTGAAAATTCTGTAATTCTGATGAATTACTAGGAGTTTTGGTTGACAAATACTTTCGTACATTTTTCCCTTTGAGATGTAGTATTGTTTGGTTTGTGCGATATGTGATTCAAAATAATGAGAAGAGAAAGAAAAAAGGTGAATCCTCTATGTATTAATCAAGGGGTCATCTAGACTATATATCCAACATGACATTTCCCACACAGTGTGTCTAGTTCTTCAATTGCTACTTGATTTCTTGGTGAGTGTGTCTTCATGTGAGAAAATACAAAAAGCAGAAAAAAACCTATTTATCTTGGCAGCAA